CTGGAGACCTCCCTGAGTGTGCCAGGCAGGCCTGTGCCCACAATCTGGACTGGCAGGGGCAGGGGGCGGATCATGGCGTCAGGATTCTGACAGGAGTATAATTCTTCTCTCTCTCCCTCACTGTCTCTCACTTATGAAATAAACTTAAAATAATAGTAGTAATTTAAATTTTCAGAAAAGAACTTCAAAAGAGGTGTTATAAGTATGTTTAAACACACACACACACAAATAACAAGAACATAAAGAAGAGAGAAATACAATATGCAAACCATCAAAAGTGGAATTTTTCAAGCTGAAATGAAAGACCAGGTGAGTGTAACAGCAGATTCAACACCGCAGAAGAAGCAATCAGTTAACCCGTCATAATATAAAAATGTCCAAACAGAAAGGGAAGAGGCTAAGAAAATGGAACAGTCCCTAAGCGACCAGTGGGGCAGAATGAAGGGGTCAAACATACCGGTAACTAGAGTCCATAAAAAGGAGAGAAAGAGAAACGAACCAAAAAATGAATTGGTGCCAAAAAGTTTCCAACTTTGAAGAAAACTATACACCCACAAGCCTCAGAATTTCTACAAATTTCAAGTACAACAAACATCATTCATATCTTCTATTTATTTATTTAGTTTTAAGAGTTTTGCCATTGAGTGTGTGTGCTTGTTGGAGAGAAACAGAGAAGGAAAGTGAGAAATCATACCCTAGGGGAAAGGTCACACTGCAATCCCTTGTCCTCCATTCTCCTCTCAGCATTTTGGGCACTGAACACTCAGCACCTGCTGTGACTTTCAAGTCAGCTTGGAAATCTGGTCCAAGACTCTGACCCTGGTTGACCATGTGGGATCCAGTGCCTTAACCACCACACCACATTCTGCTCCCTAAATACTGCTTTTCAGTGATAAAGAATATTTTTTTCTATGTAACCACATAGTGCCCTTTTCCAGGTCTCATATTTTAATCGATTTGTTTAAACTAAAAGATGTAAAAAATCTGAAAAGCAGCCACAGAATAAGACATGTTAGTGTGGAAATAATGCAGGCTAAAAGATGAACAGGTAATAGCTTTACAGTGTTAAAGAAAAAGTATCAAGCCCAAACTATGAACCCGGAATTCTAATCTGTGAAAAATGCCATCCGACTGAAGATGGGAAAATTACTAAGAGAATAGATTTTAAATTTATAAGAACAGAATTCTTTACCACAAAAAAAAAAATGGAAGTATGTAAAGTAATACATGTACTTAAGAGCCCGTTTGCCATTCTACAACATACAAAAAAAGATATTTGTAGAAAGTCTAAAGCTGAGCAAATTTGTCATCGGCAGAGCTTCACTGTAGACAAGGGTGAGGAAAGGCCTTTAGACAAAAAGAAAACGATACCAGATAGAAACTCAGGTCTTCACAGAGATGTAAAGAGAACTGGAAAAGGGCAGGATATGGTTATGTAAAGAGACTATTCTCTTTCATTTAAAATAGTTATTGGGAGTCAACAGTTTTTGTGGTGATTTAGGCACTGGATTCCACATGGCCAAATTGGGTTAGAGTCCTGGACATGGTGGTTTGAAAATTACAACGTGTGTGTGTAACTACGTGCTCAAAATCCAGAGATAAGAACGAAGGAGTAGGGATTGCAGCATGGCCAGCCCACTGAGGGGGTAATTTCTCACTTTCCCTTTCTGTATCTCTTTCTCTGGGGAGATTATGCACCTTTGGCAAAAGCCTAAAAAAATAATAAAATAATAAAATAAAATACAATCGGATCAGCAGTTGGCATAATGACTATGTTGCTGGACTCCCATGTAGTCCACTATGGTTCGAGTCCTGGACCTGGTGGCTTAAACTCACGCCGTGCACATGTGTTTAAGCCAAGATCCCAAAAGGAGAATGGAGGAGAAGCGATTGCAGTGTGGCCATGACCCCTGGAGAGTGATGTCTTGCTTTCTGTCTCTCTGTCTCTCTTTGGTGAGCACATGCATCTTATAGCAAAAACCTCAAAAAAAAAAAAAGAAAAAAGAAAAAGAAAAAGGAAATACAATTGAAAAACAAATATTTGAAAGATAATTGATGGTCCCCACCTAAAATGATTAAGCTGAAGCCATCATTTAGAATCTCCATTTTTCCTTTTCAGCTCCGGTTCTCAGCAGATAAGAGTAGACCCACACACCTCTTCCTTTCCCAACTCCATCACAGACATTCACACAGGCCTTCGAAGCCCTGTACCTGGGCCTGACAGTGGCCGAGCAGTGAAACTCAGGGTTCTTCAAGGCTGATCCCCTTGGGCAGGTCCCTGTTTTGCATCCTGAGACCTCCCTGAGCACACCAGGCATGGGGGTGCACATGACTGGGGCTGGCTGAAGCTGGTGCATCACGGCCTCAAGCTTTTATGGGGGTTCTCTCCCTCTTCCTCCATACACATGCACTCTCTCGTTCAAGTAAAAAATAAGTAACTGTTTTTAAAACGTAGTCTCTCTGGGTCCCCGTTTTCACAGTTTCTATCTTCATTTCTATCAGTGTGTGGATAGCATACCTGGCACACGATTTTAACAGATCTTATGAAAAATATTAATTTGTTTTCTTCCCAGTATACCCACTAGATACACTAGCTCAGACACAAAAGGACTTCAGAAAGTTAATGGAAAGTAGAACTTTAGCACAAGTTTATTTTGGCGCAAAAAATTTTGAAAAAAAAAATAATTGTTTCATAATAAGTGTTTGCCATAAATATTATGAAGACCTCCTAATAATCATAAGAACTGAATGATGTCCATGCTCTTATGGTTTCCCCTTGTTCTTGAAACGAAACCTCATATACCCATAGCATGTGCTTAATAAATATCAGGTGACATCAGGTGGAAGGTAGCCCGGTTACCAGCATCCAGTTCTAGCTAAGCTTGCCATAGAACGCCATCCTAGCAGCCTAGTAACTAAGAGGCTGGATCCTTATGGCTGACCCCCAAGGCTGATGGCAGTTGGACTCTCTGCCCTGGAGGATTGAAAAACATGCCAAGTGTGTGTCTGTGCATGCATGTCCCAAATCCCAAAAGGATGGAAAGAAGGAGGAGAAGGATTGACTGTGCGCCATGGGAGGGTACTTTCTCGCCCTCCACCCCGTATCTCTCTGCCTCTCTCTAGCAAGTGCATGAGCCCTCTGGCAATTAAAGAAATTGCCATCATGTATATTTTTGACAGCGGATTTTCAGCCAAGGTGAAGACTTTAAAAACATTTCAAAGTATGTCCAGCTCCAATGGTGCAGGTGGTAGGCACTGCTCTGCAATGCTGGAGCCACACGGAAGCCTACAGTTCAAATCCTGACTCGACCCAAAACATGCTAGGTGCACGTACATTCCCATCATCCTGGCTGGCTGGAAGGTTGGTGGGGCACTATGACAAGACCAGACCCTCTTGAGGGTGTTTGTTTCTCTCTCCTGCTTTTGCTCTCTCTCAATCTTGAAAGAAATACAATAAACACGTTTAGAAAAACATGTTCAAAGTAAATGTCATAGAATCCGGAGGGTGGAGGTATTAACACATGCTAAATATTCTTTAATTTCAAATCAGTAAGTGGTTTGAGCTCCTAGATGGCACCCTTGGTAACTGTCTTGGTAAATCAATAATTCAGAAATACTTGGGATCAGAGGTTGGCCTAATGGCTGTCGCTGGACTCCCATGTAGTTGACCGTGTTTTAAGTGCCAGATCCTGTGGCTTAAACTCGCACTGGGTGCATGTGCGTGCGTGCCCAAGATCCCAAGAAGAGAATGGAGGAGAAGGGATTGTGGCATAGCCACACCCCTGGGTGGTGATTTCTCACTTTCTGTCTCTCTGTCTCTCCTTGTCTTTCTTGCAAGCACATGTGCCCTATAGCAAAAAAAAACCTCCAAAAAAAGTAATAATTCAGAAAAAGTGAAAATAAAATAAATTTTCTTTTGGATTTTTCTAACCTGGCTCTTAATATACACAACTTACAGCAAATTGAAGAACTCAGTACTGGTGATCAAAGGCTCTGATAATTCCAGGTCTCCCACTGACCTTGCTCTGGGACTTGCTAAGAATGGATCGCTTCATATCTGTGATCCTTGGTTTCTTTTCCTATGAAATGTGAGTTATAGACTAGATCAGCAGTTCTCAGATTTTTGGGTTTCATGAAACAATAAAAGAAGTTGGAGCCGGACCAATTTGAAGTTGTCAACATTTTTTTTCAAAAGTGGACATAAAACAAGCAAACATATGAACTGTAGTCTTGAAAAAAGGACACACTTAGCAACAAAAGATTCAGGAGGGCAAATTCAAAATTGGAAAGATCTTTACATATAAAAAAGTAAACACAGCTCAAGCTATGTTTCATTTTCCATCTTTTTCTTTCCATTTTATCACAGCCTGACAAAAAGGTTGAAAATGTCTAAAATCATCCCATGGATTTGTGCTTAAAATGACCATATTGTATGCTTTCTGTTGTCCCTTTCAACAAGGACACTCGCTCAATAGTCCCACTGTGGGGGACCAGCAGTTGGCATAATGGCTATGTCACTAGACTCCCACGTAGTCGACCGCGGTTCGCGTCCCGGACCCGGTGGCTTAAACTCACGCCAGGCGCGTGTGCATGTGTGACCAAGATCCCGAGAGGAGAATGGAGGAGAAGGGATTGTGGTGTGGCCATTCCCCTTGGGGGGTGCTTTCTCACTTTCTGTCTCTTTGTCTGTCTGTCTGTCAAGCACACGTGCCCTATAGCAAAAACAAATAAACAAACAAACAAAAAAACAAAAAAAACTCTCCAAAAACAAAAGATAAGTAGTCCCACCGTGATAGAATCATATTAACCAAATGCAATTAACATTATGTAGCAAGATTGAAATACATTTTTAAGAACAGAAGGAACTAGGTCTGAAGTCATTTTTTGCAACAGCACATTTTAATACACCCTCTGCACATTAAGAAACTTTTTTAAAACTTCTTGTGGGAAATGACATTGCCGTTTGGGTCTATTAAGGCCTCATTCGGGTTACACAAAGTCGAAAGAGAAGTTGCACTGTGGTAACAGTAGGCTTTATCTTGAAGACCAAGAGGCGTTTTGCAAATGTGTAGTATCATTTCCTTAAACCACTCAGGACTGAGCTGTGCTTCAGTTCCTCAGTTCTACATTTTTGCAGAGGTAGAAACACAAGGCTTGACTTTTTTTTTTTTTTTTTGTAAGTATTACTGAAAGAGTCCAAATAACCTTTCATTGAACCGCTTGTTGAGATGGAGTAACATGAACAGATGAACTAGAGAAAGATGTGACAAACTAGACAGCCCTTCATTTTAGAGAGCGAAGATGGAAACATTGTTTTTCTTCTCTCAATTAAATATGTGTGAATCAAAAGAAAAAACTTTTTTCAAGTTAATACATGGTTCAGGAAAAGAAGAAACAAGCAAAGAAGCCAAAACCAGGTAAAAGTTATACATTTTTAAGTGAGCATTATGCCTTTAAAAAATATTCACCATGATTGTGGTTAAATATTTGTATAGTGTTTGTTCTAGAAATCTCTGGTTAAAGATACATTGATAGTACTGTTGCGCTTGGGGAAAAGTCTTTTCTTTTAGCAGGAGTAAACAACTCCTAAATCTAAACTGTGTTCACAAAAAAAAAAAAAAGAAAGAAAGAAAAGAAAAGAAACAGAAGCGTAACAATTTTAGCCACACAGGACTAGAACAATTGTCATTACTATAAAATACTGGACTGTCTCTAAAGAAAAAGAGAAACATATTTCACATATATCGCACCCTAATTCTTCCATAAGCAAAGTATTTACATGGGACTCATTAGTGTGTGTGGGGGGGGTACGTTGACCAATTCCAAACTTGGTCAGTGGTCAGAAGGAGAGATTTGACTGTCATCAAGTTGTCCTGAAGCTAATGTCTTTTTATTACAGAGCTAAGGATAAAAGAAATAGGTTAAGCCTTCTCGTGCAAAAACCTGAGTTTCATGAAGACACCCACTGCAGCAGCTCTGCCTACGTGGCCGAAGAAAAAAGGTGAATAACTTTTCACTACTCTAGTGCGTGGGGGAGATTCTATAAATCCTATCCTTGAAGATTTAAGGAAAAGGAACTTGGAGATTTCTGTTTTATTAGAAATAATACGGTGCTATAAGAAAGGGATCTCGTTTCAAGAACCTAGAAACAGTTTATAAAATTTAACCACTTTAATAACTCGAGTTAAATAAGCACATGAACATTTAAATGTGCTCTTTTAAAATTATGGGCCTGTCAGTTTTAAGTGACATAGTTCACTCCCTGTAAACTGAGGAAGTCATCATTAATTGAAGTGTTTTCACTATGCAATATTGTCAGAGAGAAGAGACCTTCCTTTCCTCAGTACTTTGAAAAAAAAAAAAACTGAAATATGATAGCAAATAAAGCACAAATAAAGAATGTTTTATAATTTTTAGTATTTATTTCATTCGAATGGAAAATGGAGTAGCCTTGTATACTAGTCTAATATAAATTCTCTCATGTTTGAATATTACCAATAAAAGAGCCAAGAAAATATATTCAGCTCTCTATCAACAACTCTAAACCCTAAGTTGTATCAAAAATGTCTTGTATTTCCTCTCCCTTTGAAACATCATTAGGCAAATTTCCTGTATCTGTTTTAAAAAAATTTGCAGCACACTGTGGTGAGAGGATCAAGGAAGTTGCAGTTAAAAAATTCTTTTGTGACTGAAAGATACTGTCAGCTCAGTTTCTTTGCTGAATTAAAAAAGATAGTTGCCTGAGTTGTCTTTATTTGTTTTCTTGTGCTTTTAAACATACCACATGAGTAATTTTTTTCTTAAAAAGTAAACTAATTCGCATGTCTATGAAAAAGTATTGAATGTTATTGCAATACATTGCTCAATAGGCAAAATCCAAAAGATACTTGATTGGTGTTTTGAAGTTTATGATATAAATACAACTCTCATTATACAGTAAACAAAGGAGAAACTCTGAGAAATACAATAGAAAAGAGCAGTAATACGGCATATGTTTGAGCAGATTCATAAGCAGACTTTCTGCATGCTCCATTATAAAACATTTTATGTCTTGCAGAGTCTCCCCTGAAGAAGCAGTGAAATGGGGTGAATCATTTGACAAACTGCTTTCCCATAAAGGTTAGTAGTATTTTCAGCAAAAATTTTATTCCTGAATGGAATAAAGTATGCATGTGATGATGTAAAATGAGCTGTGGTAACCTTCTGTCTGATTGGTCATGTGTAGTCATCTGAGTTTCTGGTCAGGAGAGGTGACTGGATAATGGAATAGTCAGCTACTGGGTCGTACTTTAAAATATTCTCATAAAGAAATACTTAAAGTGGGTGAAATATTCATCACTTCTTTGTACTATTGATAGCAACCTCAGATTTTAATTTTTTTCTAATTTTTAAATGAGACCCTCAGTTTTCTTAAATCCACAATTAACAAATTATCCACGTTCTTTTCATTGTTAAGCGATTGACGATTCAAAGTAGTTCTATTAATGGACGTTCAAGAAAACCTCATGAAAATAATTGTTTAAAAATTGTATAAATTCCTTTCTCTGCATTTCATGTCAATAATTATAGTTTGACAGCTGAATTTGGTAGAAAAGTTGAGGATCAGGTGTGTGTTTCCGGTGGAGCACCTTTATGTGAGGGGTGGAGGGCCAGGATGAATGCCGGGTTCTTGTTTGGTTTGAGTCTCCAACACTACCAGAGAGCTTGGGATATGGGTAGGCTGCTTGGATTGTTGTTCCCTGGGGCCAGTTTATATAAGGTATCTGGGAAGCAAACTTTCTGATCTTTATTCAGTTCCTGATTCTTTTTAGATAGCCAGACCAACAAGTGGAACCGAGGAGGCAATGGGCCTAGGCATCTGCAGGGTTTTTTGTTCTCCTCGCTGACTCAGTCAGAGTGTGAAGAAAAAGCAATGCTCTGCCCTTACCAAATCCCCTTACGCTTCAGTCCAGGGCTTGTGCTGGCACCCGTTTCCTGTGCTGTATCTCGTTCTTTGTCTGAAACACACACACTTCCCAGCTCTTCCCCAGGCCACCGCAAAGGAGGGCAACTGGATGAGGATACGCCATAGCCTTCCCCTGGGTTTCGCACTCCAAAGCATCTACTGGAAGTAAGGGCTCCTGGTCCCAGAGGGCAGTGGAGTACTTAGAGACCAGAGGGCACTGGAGAGCTTGGGTAATCCTGTGCTCCTCGTAAGGAACCATCTCCTCTTTCTTGTCTGCCCTCATTTCTTGTTATTTTTCCCTTCCTTTATTCCCCAGCTCTCTGTCAGTTCTTGGTGACCCCTTCACGTGCTGCTGAGTGTACAACTTAAAAATTCTCTCTCTGCAGACTGTTCTGCCCCAATTTTCCTTCTTCCAAAGAAAATAGGCATCTGCCTCCGAAATATAATACCGACGCAAAGAAGGAAATTATACACGGGGAGTCAAGGCTTACATTTACAGAGTCAGTGAGAGAGGAGGGCAGTGCTAAGGAAGTTTGTGCTGACGAGGACAGAATTCGTTACTTCCTCCTTCACCCTGTTGCCACTACCACTCCCTGTTTTGGGAAACGTAAATGGCTTTCTGCAACCACCTCATTCTCCTCATTCCCACTATCCAATTTCTTAACTCTTGTCAGAATTATCACCAATTATATGTGGAACCTGTTCCATGCTCATTGTTACAACTCTCCTGGTTCCGTTCTGGATATGTGTTTAATAAAAGAATGACAAGGGGGCCAGCAGTGGCATGGTGGTTGGGCGCAGGACTTCCACATGGCTCACCATGGTTTGCGTTTTGAACCTGGTGGTTTCCTTT